CACGGTAAGTCAAGTAGACCCAGTGGTGAGCACGATCATCGCGCAACGGACAAATATCGAGACAAAGAATGGGAAGGGGTGGGGAGAAGTGCGCGGAGGAGGCCAGAATCATGGAGATGCAATGGGGTTGGAAGGGGTGGGGCGGGGAGTCAAAACAGAAGTGGGATGGAGAGCGCATAGGGAAGGGAGCCTCAGACCCAGACCCCTAAACCCTTATCGTTCTGCATCATGCTTCGAATCAAATCTTTCTGTGAGGGACCCGAGGCCCGAAACCTGGCAAAAACCGCTGCGTGAAAGAAACACAGCGCGAGAATCTCAAGGGCCCCCAAGAGGGGAACCCTGCATACTCCAGATTTCGTAATACAGGGAGGGGGGTCTCATTTCGGGGGGGGGGGTCTCTTCCAGGCCATCCTGGAGGGCCTGGAGGGCCTGGGGACGATGTTCTGGAGGGTTCTCCCACAGGGGGAGCTCTGAAATGGCTTGTCTTGGAGGGTCCAGACCCCCTCCCTTTTATTACGAAATCTGGAGTATTTGATGGCCAGGCGCCCCCGAGGAGGAGGAGGAGGAGGAGGAGGAGGAGGAGGCGGAGGAGGAGGAGGAGGAGGAGTGGGAGAGAGGAGGAGGAGGAGGAGGAGGAGGAGTGGGAGGAGGACATTTTTTTGACATTCGCTTCGGGGCTGAACTAAAGCTCAAGCACGTTCCGCGGACAGCAACTGACCCCCAGTCCAAGCCTGGGGCGTTGCCAGTTCCGAGTCGGCGCCAAGACCCGGCTGGCCCCGGCCGATGCCAGCGAATTCCTCCTCCTCCTCCTCCTCCTCCTCCTCCTTTTTCCTCCTCCTCCTCCTCTTCCTCCTTTTTCCTCCTCCTCTCCCTCCTCCTCCTCCTCCTATCTCCTCCTATTCCTCCTCATCCTCCTCCTCCCTCTCCTCCTCCTCCTCCTCCCTCCTCCTCCTCCTCCTCTTATTCATCCTCCTATTCCTCCTCCTCCTCCTCCTCCTCCTCCTCCTCCGAACCGCGGGCGTCATGGTTTCGAATGGGGCTCGCGGGCCTGGCCCAAGACCCACGTCATGGTTTCGTTCACAACGGCGACCCCCGAAGATCTCCACCGATGCCCCGGGACCGGCTTTCACCCTTCAGGCCCGCGACGTGCTGAGATGGCTCTCCTGGGCTGGAGCTTTCTGCGTGCCACAAACCGGCGCTTGTCACTTGAGGTCCTTGCTCCTTCTCCAGGGAACGGGGCCTCGCTGGCGGTCTGGCGGCTCCGTGCTCGCCGTCGCCGCCCCGTCGCCGCCTCGTCGCCGGCCGCCGTCTGGGCCCAGCTGGCGTTCTGGCGGCTCCGCGCTCGCCGTCGCAGCCCCGTCGCCGCCTCGTCGTCTGGACCTGGCTGGCGGGCTGGCGGCTCCGTGCTCGCTGTCGCCGCCCCGTCGTCGACGCCGCCGCCCCGTCGCCGCCCTGCACAGATTCTCCTGCAGTCGGGGCGCTGAATAAGGAACCCTTTTCGTTGGGGAGGGGCTCCGTGCTCCCTCATTGTTTCGCATTTTGCCTCAGATGTTCCGTGGATTTTCGATGGGAAGTCGAAGTTTACCTTCTGGAGAAAAGGGGCCTCGTTCCTTATTTAAGGTTCCTTAAATCAACACCCCGACGGTAATCTACCACCCTCCCCCCCCGGGGTCAAAGACCCCACGGGAACCGATGCAAAACACATCGGCTTCTGTCCCATCGTCCCTCCTGAATATGAATTTACACTATCCCAGGGGGGGCGACATCGCACCCCCCGCCATCCTCTGCAACAAATAGTATGCGCGCGCACTCGTTTATCAAAAACCACAAGGTTTCAACAAAAAACCTTGCAAAAAAAAGAAAACGAAGTGCGCACGCGCGCGTCGTCGCGCGCACATGCCGAAATCCCGAAAGGTCTTCTGCTTCGGGAGGGTTTCACAATCAAGTTTCCAAACTAACGACAAAAACATTGTTTCGCAACAGTGCTTTTCTCAAAAACTAACGCGCGCGCTCTTGCGAAATCTTTTTTTCTTTGATGCGGGACCATAGGTTTTTCAATATTTGTCAAAACAAATGCTACCAAACGGGCCTTGCGCGCGCATGTCGAAATCTTTCGAACGCCCTTGCGCGCGTGCCGTCGCGAGAATCCTCTGGAACAAACGTGACGAAGTGCACGCGCGCGCGTCTTCGCGCGCGCATGCCGAAATCCTTAAAACAACCTTCGGTTTCGGAAGGATTTCAGAATCGAATGTCCCAAACCCATACAAAAACACATGGTTTGCGCGCGCTCCCTCTTGAGTCGTCGTCGTCGTCGCCGTCCTCTCTCCTCCCTCGTCGTCGTCGTCGTCGCCGCCGTCGTCTTCTGTCTTTCCTTGTCGTCGTCGTCATCGTCCTCCTTGGCGTCGTCGTTTCCGTCGTCGTTGTCGCCGTGGTCGTCCTTCCTCCTCCCTCGTCGTCGTCGTCGTCGTCGTCGTCCGTCGTCGTCGTCGCCATCACTGTCCCTCCTCCCTCGTTGTTGTCGTCGTCGGCGTCGCCGTCCTCCCTCCTTCTTCGTCGTTCGCGTCGTCGCCGTCATCATTCCTCCCTCGTCGATGTCGTCGTTGTCGCCGTCGCCGCCCTCCCTCGTCGTCGTCGTCCTCGTTTTCATTGTCGTCATCGTAGTCGTCGTCTTCGTCGTCGTCGTCGGCGTTGTCATCGTTGTACCCGTCGTCGTCGTCGGCGTCGGCGTCGTCGTCGTCGTCGGAGTCGTCGTCGTCGTTGTCGCCGAAGTCGTGGGGAACGTCGTCGGTGTTGTCGTAGTCGGTGTCGGTGTCGGCGTCGTCGTCGTCGTCGTCGTTGTCGCTGCCGTCGTCGGCGTCGGTATCGCTGCCAAGTGCAATGTGGTACCTACCGTCACGGTCTTAAGAGGATTTGCGACCAAGCTGCGGGCGGGAGGGTTGGATGTTTGCACGAGCAGTGGAGAGGACAGCTTCACGATGAGCAAATGATGGAATTCACCGCTTAGATCGCACCGCATATATTGCACCATGAACATTGCCACACATAGGAGTGCACCGCATGTACTGCCCCACGTGGATTGAATCACGCGAAGTGCACAACATAGGTCGCACCACGAACGACTGCACCACATAGATTGCGCAGCGCATGTTGTACCACATATATTGCACCGCATAGGTTGCACAACGTAGGGTGCACCACCTAGGTCGCACACCAGAAACTGCATCACGCATGGTGTTCCAGGTCGATTGTGCACATAGACATGTATTTCACCACGTAGGTTGCACATGAAAGATGACTTCACCAATACTGCAAAACAGCTGTGGCACAACATTATGTGCCCAACACATGATGCACACCAAATAGCACACCACATAGACTGCTCAGTGTGGATTGCACCACGCAGATTGCACACCGTAGATTGCTAGAAAAATACACTGCTTGGGGCCCGCGCTGGCTTACGTACTAATTTCTGGTGAGTTCGCCGCTCTTCGTCCAAAGGATCTTGGCAACATTCCAGCAATAGCGCGCCGACGGGGCCGTTTGAACACCGTGGCATAGGTACTGTTTTGGCTCGGTGAGTCTTCCTGCTGCTATTTCCCTCTCCCTGACTCCTTCCTGGTGGCAGGGTCGCGTTGTCGGCGCATGCTCCGAGGATCGGAGGGGCCTCGAGGCACGACGGACTCGATTGGGGCACCTAGTGCAAGCGGCACCCCATCAGGCCTGACCGCGTCCGCTTCGCCTCAACATCCCTCCGTTCCTGTGATAGCGTGATAACCGCAGACATGCGACGTCCTGATTTTTCAGGACGGCGCCCCTGAAGTCCAGACTTTTTCCCTGGGGCCAGTTTTTCGTCCTGAATTGTTTGTTGACGGTCCCGAGGCCCGGCGAAAACCCCCTGGAGCCGAAAATGTTGAAAACCATTTCCGTCCGGATGTTTTAACGACGCGATCATTCCGAGCGCAATCTATGACTACCACCACCGAGATCGCGAATGATCTACGATGCGATTTGGTTCAGTTTCACTGTTGTGGAAAAAAACCAGCAAATCCCCCTCCCGACGCCAACGGCAACTGGGCTGCCCCCTGGACCGAAACAGAATTCATCGAAGCACGCGCGGTGGCGGCGCATATAGTTTTGGTTACAAACGAGAGCGAATTTTACACACCACCACCGAGACATGCTGTTCCTGCTTGTGGCCCTGCCCCTTGCGCATCCAATGCTTTAGTATATTGGGAGCAACAATGTATTAGAACCGCGTTAAAATCTCCTCCGCCAGAATTGTCGTACAAAATTGGCACAAGGGAAACGACGCTACGGAGATCTCGGTTTTTAAAACGCATACAAGATGCTATTTTCTCGTGCCGAGCGCAACGCACGAATGACGGGCTGCCCCAGCTTTCGTCACGCGCGCCGTGGAAAACTCGAACGCGTCCGCCCCCCCCCCCCCCCCCCCCTGCGCTTGTCAATCGGCGCAGAGGACCCTGCAAAGTCTTCATCCAGGTAGTTTAAGCGCTTGGATGGCTGTCCCCCAGATAAACGCAACTCTAGAAATACATGCAGCTTGGGTTCAATGCGAAATCGGTTATCGTTCGCCGTGGCCAGAGCAGTGACATGTTTGAGCAAAAGGCACAGAATGCCCCAGCATCGCGTCGTCCGTAAATGGGAAATGGGAAATCCCCCGCGAGCGCAGCGTAGCAGCGCGACGAACTCAGCATGCAGAAATACATAGCAGACTCCACGAGGTCTGTCCTGTTTCAGAACTGCTCCGCAAACCCACGTCGCCTGCAGACAGCGGCGCGCGCGTCTCCTTGCCCGACTCATCATCCATAACCATGGACGGCGGGTCGGCGTTCCAGTCATGCCACGTCGCCTTGAAACAGGGAGAGGAGCATCATCAAAGGAGGGCGGCGAGGAAGAAAGAAGCGGCCCAACCTTCTTCGAAGAGCAAGAAGCGGCAGGTGCAGCTGAAGGGCGCGCCGGTGAACCCATCGCCCCCTGACTTGACGCCACGAAGAGCGGGCAGCGCACGCCCTTCTTGGTTGTTGCATTGGGCGGTGGAGACATCCCATACTGCTCCTTGATCAGCTTGCACCTGGCATCGGGAATGCGCGGCCCACCCGCGGCTGGGGCCGAGGTTGTCTTGCCGCGGTTGTCATCCTCCGTGCTGCTCTCGAGAAGATCTGCAGTCCGTGTCGTCTTCTTCAATTACCAATAAAATTGCGACCACACTCCAAGTTCATCGCGTCGCCGAGGGCCCCCGTGTAGTGGTCCAGCTTATCCGCGGCCGCTGCGCTCCTGAATTTTTTCACTACGTAGCTGACGCACCAGCTCATCTCAGTGGCCCAGCGGTTCGCTTCCTTGGCAGTAAGGTTCGTCTTCTGCAAGGCGATGGCCTTCGTGAGTGCCGTGGAGCTCAGACGCTGCGACACCTGGCACACATCCAACAATAACGGCATGTTGTCCCTGATGATCTGCTCCGTTGAGCCATTGATGTAAATCTTCTCGAGCAATGACACACGGCCCTTGACCAAGTCGGCCATGGCCTCATCGCTGAGCTGGCAAGTGCGGTAGCGTGGCGGGTCCTCCTTAGAAGCGACACCCATCTCAACGCAATGCCTTTTCTGCTGCCATTCGCGTTTGAGCAAGAGTGGATGCAGAACATAAGGGGGTCGAAAAGGAGACGGAAGAATTCCCCCGTTGAAGTCGGATGTGTCCCTAGCAAGGGTCGCATCGATGGCAATGCAGTAGCTCATGCAGCAATCAACATACACAACAACAACGTACCGATAGATTGGCTCGCGCCGAGAGCATACATATGTATATGTATACGTGTGTATATATATATATATATACATGTATTGGTGCATCGATTTCTGTGAAGAGCAAATCTATCACAATTCCAAATCTTTGAAGCATTGGATGCTCAAGGCCCTTAAACATTTCTGAGATATATATTATTGTTGCGGACGGTAGTGGTGCATACATTCCACCCGAAACAAATTCCAACCAAAAAATGGTTTGACATTGGATCGATATAGAAATTGATAAGGAGATCATACCGGAACCCGGGAACCCTGAAACCCAGAACCCACCGAAACCGGAACAGCACCAATTACCAAGAACCCGGGAACCCATAACCAGGAACCCAGCCAGCCCCCGAAATCGGCGGGAAACGTTCGCCAAATCTTGAAAATTCCGCTGAGACCACTTCAGTGCAAGCACCGATTGGGGAAACTTGGCCTCGCAGCCGTGTCTGGGTCAAACTCAACATCCCTCCGTGCCTGTCAAAACTTGTTTCCGGGGGACTCAGGTTGGCCTGACGGGCCCATCATGAAAATGACGAAGCCCAATCTGAAATTTGACGCGAGCTCCCGCTGCAAAAAACTCACGAAACCCGGACCGTCAAAATCCAGGACCCGCTCGCGAGTTCTGGCCTACTTGCGTCTTAGGTTCCCCCGTGGGCACACATTACAGGCCACTTTTCGTATTGCTACGGGGGAAAACACTGCGCGAGGTACCCCGCGACACCACCAAGGTGCCGACGAGGAGAAGTATTTTAGACCCTGCGTGTCGAGTCCAGGGCAAGGCCGCCTTCCTGGATCCCATAGAAGAAGAAACATAAGACAAATACTAAGAAACAGCAACAAACAAGAAAATGTCATTCACATCACCTGCTAGCGCTCCGCGCGGATCTCTTGGAACTGCGCTGGAACCCCCTTCCCTGGCGCGCGGAGCGCGCCAGGAGCGGCGCCAGAGGCGCTGTCGGGGGCCCCTGGCGCGGATCCAAGAAATCCGCGCGGAGCGCCACCAGTCAATGTTTATTGCGTTTTCCCTCCTTCGACCTAGACCTGGCGTGCCGAGTCCGTGGCACGGCCGTCTTGTTGGATCACCTCAAGAGTACAGGGCTGGATGATTTGCCGCCTCGAATCGCAGGCGGCCCCGCGGGGGTGGTGGGCCGCGCGGGGGCGCGCGCGCGCGCGCGCCGCTGCGTCCGCGGTGCTCCGCGCCAGCTCCTGGCGGCGGCTCTCCCTCTGCTCAGCACTCCGCCCGAGGAGTGTATATACACTATACCCAGAAGCCCTGGGGGTTGGGCGAGGGTCTTGCCGTGGGTTTGGCATACGCAAGTCCCTCCCTGGGGCGCAGTTCTTGTGTACTGAACGTGGCCGCGGGGATGACATGAACATCACAACTCGAAGGTCCGCACGGATTTCTCGGATCGTCGCTGGACCCCCTCCCTGGCGCGCTCCGCGCGCCAGGGGCGGCGCCGGAGGCGCCGCCAGGGGGGATCCTGCGCCGATCCGAAAAATCCGCGCGGACCTCCGAGTTGTCATGTTTATGTTCTGTCATTGTTCGTTCCCCTAGGAACGTGGCCCTGGGCGGTGGAATCTGACTGGGACGGGGAGGGTGCGGTATACAACAGAATCTTGAGGATGCTCGCCTCGCCCGCCGCAGACACCGCGGCGTGCCCGAGCGGGAGTATAGGCTTCGGACTTTGCCCTTGGTGGGCAGGGAAACGCAGCGACAGGGCCGTTTTCTTTACCGGCTCCACCTTGCCGTTTTGTTGCCGGTTCCGGCGTCGTTTGTTTGCCGGATCCGTCGCCGTTTCTTTCACGGATTCGGTTCGGGCTCCAGGTCCCGGAGCCGCTTTTGTTGCAAAGTTTCCGGTCGCCGTCGTTTTTTTACCACTTCCATCTTCTCGGAAACGGTGATAAACGGCCCAGCCCTTTCAGAGGCCCGCTAAGATGTCGCCACATCTTTCACCAGACTCGAACTGATCCTTATCCCTGAGATGGGCAAAACAAAAGGCGATCACAGTCTGAGTGATGTGCCCTCTGAAGCTAGGGAAATCCTTCGGATCGGCATCGAGGCACGGTAATGCCAAGCATAATGATACACCCTGCGAAATGCTTAAGAAATCATGGGTTAAGAAATTCATAGTCTCAGAACTTGAACAAAGACCCAACATTTCTATTAAAATCTTAGAATTTACATTGAAACGTTAAGAATAATCGAGACTCTGCCCGAAAATTTAAGTTTTCTTAAGCATCGCCTAAGGTGTAGGGAGATGTTTCAAACTGGTGAACCTTCGACGGATTCCGGGCCCTGCCCCCGCCGCCCATCGAGCTGCCGGCACGTGGGGAAACCAAAAAGGTACCGATACCGCTACTCCCTGCGAAATGCTTAAGAAATCATGGGTTAAGAAATTCATAGTCTCAGAACTTGAATAAAAAACCAAAATTTCCATTCAAATCTTAGGATTTACATTGAAAAGGTAAGAATAATCGAGACTCTGGACGAAAACTTAGGTTTTCTTAAGCATCGCCTAAGGTGTACTCCCCAGACCTCCCCCAGGGTGCGCTGTGACCAAGAGTTCGAGGCGAACCCAGCGGCGGCGACGAGGGCCTCCCAGGTGGCCCCCAAAGAGGCAATCGAGGGACACGCAGTGGGTCTCGGCAACTCTCCCGAACATGCGACGCCCTGATTTTTTCAGGACGGCGCCCTTGGAAATCCCGACCCTTTCCCCAAGACCGTTTGTTCGTCCCGTGTCGGTTTTTGACGGCCCCGAGGCCCTGCGAGGGCCCCCTGGGGCCGAAAATAACAAAACAACAAAAAAAACACCCGGACCTTTTTGCGACGCGGTCATGTCTAGGCTTCCTACTCTGAGAACCCTGCCCCCGCCGCCCCTCGTGGACCAGAAAACAAACGGCACCACCCCACCTACCTCCCCACGGGCCGCAACGCATACCAGGACATCTGGCGTGGGTTTTTTTTTTCGTGGTAGACAGTCCGGCGCCCGATGGGCATTAGCGCGGCGGTGTCGTTTGGTTTTCGGTCGGCCTCGAGCTGCCCCAAACTCTTTGGACGCCCGAAATGGGTACGGAAAGAATGGGCACTCTGCCCAACAACAAATACTGTCCCAAGCCAACAGCGGCCGCTGCTGGGCAGGCGGCCTTCTGCCTCGAAAAGACACAGGCCGCGGCGGCGTGGACAGCGAATCCTGTTCAAAATGAACAGGGATTGTTGTTGGGCATTGTACCCATTCTCTCAGTACCCATTTCGGGCGTCCAGAATCGGGAGCGGCCAAGAGGGGGGTGTCCAAGAGGGGGGGGTGCAAATCATGACCGGCGGCACGTGCGCGGCCCAGCGGGGGGGCCTGGGACGTAATAGAATACGAAGAGGCGCCATGAACTCTGAGGAAAAATCATGGCCCGCGCCATGAAATCCCCCCCCCCTAGTCATCACCCCCCTCTTTTCCGCTCCCGACAGAAACTCCGCCCCCGAGAGCGAGGAGGGGAACCGGCCTCCTCCCCGCCGGGGCGGCGCGCCGAGGAGGGGCAGCTGCGGGGGAGCCTCGGAGCTCGAGCCTCGCGGAACTTCCGAGCGCTCCTTGAGCACGGGGATGCGTCGACCCCTCTCCCCAGGTCATGACCGCGTCGTGAACCACTCCCACGGAGAGACCCCACATGAAAATCCGTTCGGCTTGTCTGGAAAGAGCCTTCACTGTCGTCCTCGCGATGAGTGAGGCGCCCTTGTTGTCTCCTCGGCGTCATCCTCATCCTCGCCCTGGCGCAGGGGCCTCACCCGCTCCCCGCGCTGCCCTTGCCTCGCCCTCCTGCCGTTGGTTTCGTCACCCACCACCTCCTCTCTTTGTGTATTGCAAGAGCGCGCGCGTCGATTTTCCTCGACGCCGTCGCCGCTTCGGCCAGCGCGGGCGCATTCTCGAATGGCCGCGTCGCGCGGCCGTTGGGACAACCCCGCGGGCCAGGCCGTTGGGGCAACCGCGCGAGCCGCTGGGGCGCGAGAGCAAGCCGTTGGGACAACCCCGCAGGCACCAAGCTAGTCGCGGTCGCGCTCAGGCCGGAGGCAGCACGAAGCCAAGCTCTTGTGGCGAGCCCGATTCGTCCGAGGATGGGTTACCACCCCCGGCCCGGACGCAAGAGTTCCCCCCTGCGCCCGATTCGGCCGACGATGGTTTACCACCGCCGGCCCCGAAGCAAGGGTTGCCCCTTGCCCCCGACTCCAGTGACGATGGGTTGCCACCGCCAGCCCGGAGACAAGGCTTTCCCCCTGTCCCCGCTCGGCCGAGGATGGGTGACCACCCCCGGCCCGAACGCAAGGGTTTCCCCCTGCGCCCGGCCGCCGCCGTCGTCGTCGTCGCCTCTTGGTCCTCCTCTCCCTCCTCACCTATAATGGGTCGAGCGAGTCGCCCGCTGAAAAGCGCATAGGGAGGGGGTTCCCCCTAAGACCTCCTTGCAGTTTTTTCGCAGACGAGGCTCCCCGCCTGATACTTCCCCCATAGTCACGCCTCGGGGGCCCCGAAATGACGTTGGTGACAGGGTTGAGGATGCCCCGCTCGGATAAAAAAAATTGCAGGCCCCATAGGGAGGGGGCTCCCGACTTCCTCACACATCACTCACAAACGAGGCTCCCGCCTGATACTTCCTCCATTTTCAGGCTTCAGGAGCCCCAGAAGTGACGACAATTACATGTTCGAGGATGACCCGCTCGGACGAAAAACATGGAGTGCTGGCCCCATTGGGAGGGGGCTCCCGCATGAGACTTCTACCCAGTTCACTCACAAACGAAGCTCCCCGCCTGATACTTCCCCCATATTCACGCCTCAGGAAACCAAAAGTGACGACAATTACTGGGTTCGAGGATGACCCGCTCGGATGAACAACATGAATTGCGGGCCCCATAGGGAGGGGACTCCCGTCTAAGGCTCTCTCACAATTCACTCACACACGGGGCTCCCCGCCTAATACTTCCTCCATACTCAGGCCTTGAGAGCCCCTAAATGACGACAGCTACAGGGTTGAGGATGACCCGCTCGGATGGAAATCGTGAAATGCGGGTCCTATATGGAGGGGGGTCTCGCCTCAGACTTCTTCGCAGTTCACTCACAAACGAGGCTCCCCGCCGGATACTTCCCCCATATGCACGCCTCGGGAGCCCAAAAGTGATGACAATTACAAGGTTGAGGATGTCCCGCTCGGATTAAAAACACAATGCGGGCCCCATAGGGAGGGGGCTCCCGCCTGAGATTTCCTCACAGTTCACTCACAGACGAGGCTCCCCGCCCGATACTTCCCCCGTTTTCAATCCTCGGTAACCCCAAAGTGACGACAATTACAAGGTTGAGGATGACCCGCTCATATAAAAACATGAATTGCGGGCCCCACAAGGAGGGGGCTCCCGCCTGAGACTTCCTCGCCGATTCACTCACACACGAGGCTCCCCGCCTGATACTTCCTCCATATTCAGGCCTCGGGAGCCCCAAAGTGACGACAATTATGGGGTTGAGGATGACCCGCTCGGATAAAAGACGTGAAGTGCGGGCCCCATAGGGAGAGGGCTCCCGCCTGAGACTTCCTTGCAGTTCACTCACAGACGAGGTTTCCTTCTGATACTTCCCCCATATTCAAGCTAGCGAACGAGTGGGTGAGTGAGTGAATGACTGAATGAGTGATGCTGATGATGAGGATGATGCAGATGATGATGAGTGAGTGGGTGAGTGAGTGTGGGATCGAATGATGGTCAATGTGATCAAGACGGTCTGTGTGAGTGACTGTGAGTGTGTCCAGAGAACACAAGAACCTCACTTTGGTTGTGGGGGAAAAATCAGGACGGGAGGTTTTGGCTATTTTCGGCCCCAGGGGGCCCTCGCCGGGCCTCGGGGCCGTCAAAAAACGACTCGAGACGAAGAACCGCTCCTGGGGAAAGGGTCGGGACTTCCAAAGACGCCGCCCTGGATAATTCAAAGACGTCGCATATCTGGGTTCCAAGCCTCGCAGGTTTATATATATATATATATATATAAAAAAAAATCCAAGCCTCGCAGGTTTCTCGAATAGACCGGAAAGTTGGGGCACATGGTGCCCTGGGATCTACGACGGCGGGGGGGCGTCCATCCTCGATGAGGGGGTGCGTGCGAATAGCCCCCTTGTGGGTGTATCCCCAAAGTTTGTCCCCTTTGACGGGCCTGTTTTCCACCACCACCACCACCATAAGTTGGAGGGGGGGGGTCCTCCACCTCCTCCTCCTCCTCCTCGTCCTCCTCCTCTTCCTCCTCCTCCTCCTCCTCCTCCTCGTCCTCCTCCTCCTTCCCCCCTCCAACTTATGGTGGTGGTGGTGGTGGGAAACAGGCCCATCACCCTTTGCTGGGCGGCCAAACTTTTCGGGCGGAACTCGGGGATTATGGGGGGAAACATCGCCTGCGATTATCGGCAGTTCTCCAGGCTCGGGTTGCGTTCCAGCGGCTGCGACTCGCCGAGAGAGTCCCCGAGATGTCCAGGGCGCCCCGAACGGTCACGGGAGAGCCGAGCCTTCGACCCGAAAGCAAAACGGAAACCAGGGCGATGGGGCTTCTCGGCAGCCCGCGCGCCTTCTGAGACGCTGTCGGTGGTTTCGGAGAAGGCCCAGTGCGTCTCAAAGGCTCTAGGGCCTCTGAGGAACCCCGCCGCCTTGTGAGAAGGGTTGCCCCCTCTCGCTTCACCCCTGGGATCGCCGCCGGCAGACTCCCCTGCGGCAGCCCCTCCCGACCGCCCCCGTCTTCCAAGTCAACTGGCGCCGCGCATCGCGCACCACGGTGCGCAGTTATATTCGCGACTTCGCGCCGTCTCCGTGGCGAAGGACAACTCCGGGGCGATTATCTTCGCGCACATGGGGGTGACCTAACATTATCCTTCACAAACCACTGTCACATTGTGTACCCGGGAGGCCTCCTCAATCGATTCCATCGCGCTGCTGTTCGCGTCGAATCTGCGTCCGATCCGCGAATCCACGCCGAACCCGCGTCGAACCCACGTCGAATTTGCGTCGGTTCCACGCCGAAGATACGCCGGGCACCACAAAGAGACCGCCGTTCACAGGATAGGCGATGTCCCCGAAGCTGCAGCGAGACCGCTGACTTGCCCAGGAGCTCCCTGGACATTCTGTGGTGCGAAACCCAAGGCCTGTGCGTCCTCGAGCCCGGGATGGGTTTCTCGGGCAAGGGGGGTCCTTGGTTTCCTGGTGGTGCTGTGCAAGACATTGTCATGAAACGCTTTGCTACATGATGCCCATCTATGCCATGGCTCCTCCTGGAAGAATGCCGTGCGAATGATATGAACATGATGCTGCTATGGTGTGTTGCACAACGCGTTTCTACGTCTTGCTGCGATTGGCCAAAACCGGTTGTATCTGGTATGGTGGCGATATGTATCGCAAACACTTATTGACTGAATGTGCGATGCTGTATGTATGGCCGACACTTCACCGTGCTGCTGCGTTACGGAATGTTTCACACATGCCATGCTTCACGGCATGAAGGCGCACTGTTCTGGATCCGTGTGGGGGGATGGCGATCCATTACGTCGCTTTCAACATTGCCTATCGGACGTTTGCGAGTAGGCACTTTGCGAGTAGTGGGCCACGCTCGGCGAGCCATGTGAGCTGGTCCTCCCGGCATGGTGCCCAACACTATGCCGTGCCATGCTCTGGAAGAAACCATGCCAACCAATGGCCTGGCGAGGGACCCGAGCACGCACGACACCCAATGGCACGACGGCACGGAGCCCAATGGCACGACACGATAGACGAGCGACGGGCGACAGACGAACCACGGGAAGCGGAGCGGGGGAGCGGGCGGGACGCGAAGGGAAGGGAAGGTCGTCCCACGGCGGGCGCCCGCGCCCGGCGCGGCCCCGCCCGCACGACACGAGTACGAAGTACGGGAGGCGATTTTCCGCGGAGACTCGCCGGGTGGTAACTCCCACGCTGGCTTCGGGCGCGCCAGAGGAGACGTTAATGTATGGTATAAGAAGATTCGTGGTTACTGTAGACGTCCAGGACCTCAGTCCGCAGTTTCGAACTCTTTTCGTGTGAATTAACGGCGTGGACCTGGAAACGATGCATCAAATCGACAACCAACCACTACGTGTTGGATACAACTGACTTGGACAGTCGTTCGTAAATACAGAAGGAACGCGTTTCGGATGAACATATAACGAACGCTGTTTGGTTGAGAAACTACTTCCGCAAGGGACACGGTGACGCCTAGATGTTGGCAAGACGTAAAAAGAATGCTGAGCCTGCAGAGGGCGAAACTGGTAACTACCCAACACGCCCTGATTATCGAACCTATAAACGGGGAATGTTAAACCACGTTGTGTAGCGGAAGCCGGGGAGCTATGACAAACCGACGGCCGCAGCCAGAAAATATGTAGAAGCGTTCCGAAGACAAATGCTTGGCAAGTTGTTTTTGCTTTTTTTGCTTAAGACACTATTGGCGCTTCCAGCAACCACTCAAGTAATGGTCGGGGCTCTACCGTAGACACTGTAATCGCACAACACGCCTACTTGAATAGTGGTTGCCAACATGTTGCCAACATCATGCACGCGGCGTGTTGGACACATACGGTCTGGCATCATCGACTAGCTGGTAAAATCTTCGTTTCCATTTCACAGGGTGAGCGGTAAAGTGAAGCACGCTTTTATGAATCAAAGAGGGGCCGACGGCGAGAACGGGTGACGAGCAAAACACAGCAAAGCCCGAGGAGGAGGAGGAGGAAAAGGAGGAGGGAGGAAAGAAGGCAAGCAGCGCGCCCGGCGAGCACGCGGGACAGCGGCAGCCCAGGGTAGCCGTCGGGCAACTAATCAAAGAATTCGTCGGGCAGGCCTGGGCGCTCCAACAGGCGCCACCGCACACCGGCTACACGCAAGAGCGATCCCTGGCAATAGCGCCCTTTGGTGCGCGACTTTCAGGGGCCACGGGGGGTCAAAACACGAGAGCGCGCAGGCAGCTGCCATCGCCTCGCAGCCAGCCATGTGGGGACCCCTTGTGCGCCCGCACCAACGCTCTCCCTGGCAATAGGTCACTCCTGCGTTGGATTCCAACGTGGGTCTGTTCGTACAGAGAGGATCGATGAAACAAGCGCTGACACACAGATTATGTCTATCTGTGCATATGCTGTCTGGCGAAGCGGGGCGGCAACAGCGCGACGCCAAGGAGCGCCGTGAACTTGAGCCTTTGGCCTGGAAGCACGCCGCGCACAGCCGCCCGCCGCGCCGCCTCGCGGCCCCTGGCGCGCGGAGCGCCCACGACCAGCCGGCCAGCCGCCCGCGGAGGCGCTTGCGGCGCCCCTCCGCTGCACGGGCGGGGCGCCAGGCGCTCCCAGCGCGGGGCCCCGCACCCGCAGGCCACGCAGGCCGCCCAAGCAGGCCCTTCGGGGAGGTGGCGCGGCCCTGCCACGCCCTGCCAGGCGCTGAAGTGGACCACGCTGTGCCAGGGGCGGCTGGCCCAGAATTGCATGCACACCCTCACGCGGGACAGCCTGAGGTGCGGCGATCTCCTGGCATCGCCTCGCGCCACGCATCAACTAACGCCGCGGTCGGCGATTACGTCCCACGCTGTAGCCCGCAGGCATCAGCACCCCAGCAGCTCGAACCGTGAAGGACATGTACACCACCCGCCACGGGTTAGAGTCGCGATGGCGTCGGCATCGGACTCTGACGCCGCGTCGGCCCACCTTCAACGATCGCAGCACTCCAACAGAGCAGACCGTTCGGCATCGGCCGATTCGGGTCCACAAGGCGGCGCTCAACCAGGAACCCGGCGGCGCGCTCAACACTGAACCAGGCTTAGGTCGGACATGTCCCCCTACATTTGGATTTTTTGGCGGCAAATCAAACATGGTCAAAAAATGCAAGAATACCCCAAACAGGTCAAACCATCCCCCCTATGTTTGAAGATTCCTCCTGTAGAGGGACAGGCCCGACTCAAACCAGGCGGGCGGGGCATCTCGGGACTCGGCGGGGCTTCCCAGAAGCCCCATCTGGCCTTCCGAGCAGGCCCACTGCGTCTTCGGCGACGGCCTCGGCCGCCTCTCAGCGGCCGGAGGCCCTTTTCTGCAAGCCTTCTGAGAAGAGGCGGCGCGGCCTTGCCGCAACGGACTGCCCCCACCAGACCCCTCGGAAGCCCACGACCGCACTCGCCTCCCTCCCTCCTCCGCCTCCTCCTCCTCCTCCTCCTCCGCCACCTCCCCCTCCTCCTCCTCCGCCTCCTCTTCAGCCTCCTCCTCCTCCTCCTCCTCCTCCTCCTCCTCCTCCTCCTCCTGCTCCTCCTCCTCCTCCTCCTCCTCCTCCTCCTCCTCCTCCTCCTCCTCCTCCTCCTCCTCCTCCTCCTCCTCCTCCTCCTCTCCCCCTACCACCCCCCCCAGCGAGGGAGACGCGTCGCCTGCAGCGACTCCCGCAACGCCTGCTCCAGCAGCTCCTGAGCGCTCCGGGGGGGGGGGGAGGAGGAGGCCGAGGAGGCTGCCGCGAGGAGGCTGCAGGCGAGGGCGACGGATGCTTCGGAGGCCGCGGAAGAGGAGGAGGAGGAGGAAGAGGAGGAAGAGGAGGAGGCGGAGAAGGAGAAGGAGGAGGATGAGGAGGGTGAGGACAAGGAGGAGGAGGGGGAGGAGGAGGAGGAGGAGGAGGAGGAGGAGGAGGAGGAGGAGGGGGAGGAGGAGAGGAGGAGGAGGAGGAGGGAGGAGGAGGAGGAAGGAGGAGGAGGAGGAGGAGGAGTCAGATGTGTGCTGCACAATCGTGGTTGATCTCTCGTCCCTTGCCCTCTCTCACGTGCTCGTGCCCTTTTTTTTTTTCTCTCTCTCTCTCTCTCACTCTCTCCCCCGCTCCCTTTCCAGAACAAGCAGCGGACACACTGATACCTCCGGTCGGGTCGAGTCGGGTCGAGGAGGAGAAGGAAGAGACCAGCGTAGAGAGCAAGTCTCGGACACCCTACCTTATCCCCTGGGCGCGCTTGCTGATGAGGCTGGAGGAGGAGGAGGAGGAGGAGGAGGAGGATGAGGAGGAGGAGGAGTGCACGTAGCTGAGAAGAGGAAGAGGAGGAGGGGCGGGGGAGGAGACGAATGAGGCGGCGAGGGAGGGGGCCCTCTCCCTCTTTCTCTCTCGCCCCGTGATCTCCCCTCCCGCCCCCTCCACATTCGTTCCCTTCGTGCCCCAACCATCCCGTCTCCACATGCCCACCCCGTGCCCGCCCCCATCGCTCCACTCCCTCTGGTTGCCGCGAGACTCCGCGAACACATCCCGCGACTGCTGTACCGCGTAAGAGGCCAGCTGCTCTTGGGGAGGTGGGGCGACCAGCCAGCGCTCTTCCGCGATCGCGCCGCACATCAGGCTCGATCTGTCGGCGCTCGGCGCTCCCCGAGCGCGCCAAGCGAACGTTGTCCGCTCGCGCGTCAGGCCTCTTCGAACTCCTCCCTGGGCAGTGCTGGGAATCGTGAGGAGTGGAGCGACTGGGCGGCGAGCATGGCTGCGCGGAAAGGCAGAGGCAACCAAGAGGAAGCTGCATGCAGGGGGGAGGGCGAGGGCACGGCAGAGAAGGGGAAGGAGGGATGATTCAGATCTCCGACGTTGCGTTTGTTTCACCATGTGGGCCCCCAAAGGTCTAGACCCCTTCCCTTGGACAGATGAATCATCGCGAGTTGTTTCTCACGGTCCTGGGGCCAGCTGGGAGACCGAAAACGGCCAAACACCACCCGTCGCGAATGATTGTTCCCTACCTAGGCTCTGCCTAGAAGGGTTCTTACTCTCTTTGCTTAAAGGGGCCTGGCAATGGAAAGCGCCCCGGGCGGTTCCCCCAGTCCCCGCCCCGCGGTTCCCCCAGTCGCGCCCCCTGGGTTCACCCAGCTTAGCTTAGCTTCAGCTTAGCTTTAGCTTAGCTTGAGCTTAGCTTTAGCTTAGTGTTAGCTTAGCTTTAGCTTAGCTTTAGCTTAGCTTCAGCTTAGCTTCAGCTTAGATTTAACTTAGCTTTAGCTTAGCTTCAGCTTAGCTTCAGCTTAGCTCTAGCTTAGCTTAGCTTAGCTCTAGCTTAGCTTCAGCTTAGCTTCAGCTTAGCTCTAGCTTAGCTGTAGCTTAGCTCTAGTTTAGCTTGAGCTTAGCTTTAGCTTAGCTTTAGCTTAGCTCTAGCTTAGCGTTAGCTTAGCTTCAGCTTAGCTCTAGCTTAGCTTTAGCTTAGCTCTAGCTTAGTTTTAGCTTAGCTTTAGCTTAGCTGTAGCTTAGCTTTAGCTTAGCTTCAGCTTAGCTTCAGCTTAGCTTTAGCTTAGCTCTAGCTTAGCGTCAGCTTAGCTTCAGCTTAGCTTTAGCTTAGCTCTAGCGTAGCATCAGCTTAGCTTTAGCTTGGTTTCAGCTTAGCTTCAGCTTAGCTTTAGCTTAGCTTCATCTTAGCTCTAGCGTAGCTTTAGCTTAACTTTAGCTTAGCGTTAGCTTAGTGTTAGCTTAACTTTAGCTTAGCTTTAGCTTGGCTTTACCTTAACTTTAGCTTAGCTTTAGCTTAGCTTTAGCTTAGCCTTAGCTTAGCTTTAGCTTAGCTTTAGCTTAGCTTTAGCTTAGCTGTTTCTTAGCTTTAGCTTAGCTTTACTGTTACTACTAATGCTGCTTTCCTAGGGGCTCCAACTCCTAGGTAGGGTCGCATTGGGATAATTCACGACGACGAGAGGTCAGGGGAGAAGGAGGCGGGGGGAGGAGGAGGAGGAGGAGGAGGAGGACGAGGAGCGGGAGGAGCAGGAAGAGGAGGAGGATGCCGACGAGGACCCTTCGGACTCTCCCCTGCCCCCGCCCCTTCGCCTCCCGCTCCTGCCCCTGCGCTTCCGGCGGTCGTCCTCTGGTACCTTGCCCTGTGTGACCCTGTGGTCACAATTGGCCCCCATCTCGGCAAGCCTGCGCTCTTTGCCAACAGTCGCCCTGTCCAGCTGCACACCATGATGGCCCCTCATTCTTCTTCTTATTCTTACTATTATTATTATCCTCCTCCTCCCCTCCTCCTCCTCCTCCTCCTCCTCCTCCTCCTCCTCCTCCTCCTCCCCTCCACCTCCGATAGAACCACTGACCGACCGAACGCCACCGAATGCGACACAGCCGAACCGACCGATCCGCGGGCACACTTGGTGATCCTCGTCGTCTGGCTGTCGGGTCCGAACTCGGGTCTCCAGTGGCCACTCAGGATGATTCGGGCCGCGCCCGAACGCTCTCGACGAGGCGCAACTGTTGGAAACCATCCCGAGGCTGGACAAAAAGCCTCAAGGACCGACGAAGACGGACGAAAACCTAGAAACCAGCCCCTTCCAGGCGACGACGGTGGCGCTTCTCACAGGGTGGCCACTACAGTCGGGGCGTTGACCTAAGGAACCCTAAATAAGGAACGGGGCCCCTTTCTCCCATAAGTTGAACTTCGATTTCCCATGGAAAACCTCAGGAAAACAGAAGGCAAACTGTCGAACGATCAAGGAACACCGAGCCCCTCCACAACGAAAAGGGTTCCTTCTTCAGCGCCCCGGCTGTAGGCGCGGGCCCAAACCACTCCCCGAAAGGCGTGCCCTCCAGATGCCGTCGTCTCGTCGGCAACCGCGGGCGGGCATGCGCAGCCCTCCCCCCCCGCCATCGTCGTCTTCCTCCTTTTTGCGACCGCTCTCCCCGGGAGCGCGCGCTCGCGCGCGTGGCATGCCGTCTTCCTCCTCCTCCTCCTCCTCCTCCTCCTTCTCCTCCTCATCGCCCTTCTCCTCCCTCCTCCTCCCCCTCCTCCTCCTCCTCCTCCTCCTCCTCCTCCTCCTCCTTTTCCTCATCCTTGGCTGGCTGCAGCAGAGAAAAGTCGCCTCCCCGTCACTGGGGAAGCAGGCGACATTCACCCGAGGACATCAAGGAGAACATGTGGCCCCACGAGGCGTTGCGACGCCTCCGCCAGCAAGCGCCAGGCCCACGCGGGTTCTGGCGCTCTGGTCGCGAGGCTGGCGGCGGGGGGAGGAGGGCGGGAGAAGGAGCAGGGGGAGTACCTAAGGGCACGCCTACTTTGCGCCGACAGCCTAGGCTGGGGTTCCCTGAAGTCCCGGCCCGTTCCCTGGGGCCGCCTTTTCGTCCTGCGTAATTTTGTGGACGGTCCAGGGGGCACGGAGGGGCGCCCAAACGCAGAAAACTACGCTTTTACGACGACGACGACGAAGATAATGAAGGGGCAGCGGTCTCGGCAAGCACCCGCCCTGATTCCGGATCCGCCGTACGTTCTACGATGTTGCATTCAAAACGTGCGTCTGACTGCATACATTCGCAAAAACGTAGGCTCAAATGCTGAGCCGATACACCACGTCTCGATCCGGATCGTTTTGAGCACGGAACGTGTTGAGATTCAACCCAGGCGTCTCAGGGCAGCTATGCCAACCTAAATACGGCGGATCCGAACCCAGAAATGCGACGTCCTGATTTTTTCAGGACGGCGTCCCTGGAAGCCCCGACCCTTTCCCCGGGACCGGCTTTTCGTCCTGAATCGGTTTCTGACGGTCCCGAGGCCCGGCGAGGACTCTCCCCGGGGCCGAAAATAGCCGAAAACCTCTGGTCCTGATTTTTGTTACGACGCGATCGTGTCTGGGAAGCCGGGGTGGAGTTCCCAGGAGGACACCGCGCGATGTCCTGGCCCCATCCACGCAGGAACACGCTCGGCCAGTTGCGTCGGAGGCCAGTCGCTTGCCGCGAAAACCAAGGGAGGGAGGGAGGAAGGGAAGGAGGGGGGATGACGAGGAGCCAGACCCCCTCTCGTCGTGGAAACATTAAAGCTGGCCGTTTTCTGCTGTTTTCGGCCTCTGGGGGGCCCTCGCCGGGCCCAGGGGATGCCAAAGAACTACTCAGGGTGAAAAGCTGGACCTGGGGAACGGCTGGAGACCTCTGGGGGTCTACGTTGTGAACATTCATGAGGGAAGAGGGAGGGGGTGATAGGGAACGGAGGGGTGGAGCAGGAGGAGGAGGAGGATGAGGAGGCAGGATCAGGAGAGAGGCGTATGTGGAGCACTCTCGCGGTGAGGGCGTCGTGCGATGTATTGACGGCGGCCGCCTCAGAGGTTGTCGAAGGTTCTGGGCGACAACGGTTCGTGCGTGTTTTGCAGCCTTCGCGCTTCCTCCAACATCATTCTTCCCTTCACCACGCGCTGGGTCGTCAGGGAGCCCGTCCCGAAGACGCCGTTGACCGCCGCCACTGCCTTCCTCTTGCTCTGCACCCACCTTGCACGCAGAAGACGCCTGCACGCCACGGCCGTGCCTGGCAGGGGCCGTCCACGGCCCTGGCATGGTGCATCAGCCCCTCCTGGCCGTGGCCAGGACCCAGGAGGAGGAGGAGGGGGAGGAGGAGGGGGAGGAAGAGGAGGAGGAGGAGGAGGAGGAGGAGGAGGAGGAGGAGGAGGAGGAGGAGGAGGAGGAGGAGGAGGAGGGTCTGCACACCATTCCAGGACCCAGGGTGGCTCCGGCCATGCACCGCGGTGGCGTGCAGGTGCCTTTTCTGCGGAGGGACAGGAGAGCGAGGACCACGACCAAGACTGAGCGCGAAAACGTCCTTGTCGATCTTGGTGATCGTCCACCTTCGTCGTCGTGAATTCGTGAAGCATCCACGCGAATCCACGAGGCAGGCGTGGACCATGACCCAGATCGGCGTCGACGACGTCCCGCGACACCCTGGTCGTGGCCGCAGTGCTTCTCCCCTCGACTCTGCGAGCCTTATTTTCTTGCAGATCTTCGGATCGCCCTGTTGTCGCTTGTACTCGAGGGACGTCACCTCCCAGCAGGCCTGAACCTAAACGGTGTTTTTCGTTTTCGTGTTCTTTTCGTTTTCCCTCGCTTTTGTCTCCAATCCGCCTTGGCTGCAAAACGAGGTCGAAAGGAAAACGGCCCCCGAAACCGCCAAAAACACCGTTCAGGTCCAGACCTGCCTCCCAGGGGGGCTCTGAGAAGGCCTTCGTCTTCCTCCTCCTCCTCCTCCTCCTCCTCCTCCTCCTGCTCTTCCTTCCCCTTCTCCCTCTTCTCCTCCTCCTCCTCCTCCTCCTCCTCCTCCTCACTCCTCCTCCTCCTCCTCCTCCTCCTCCTCCTCCTCGTCCTCCTCCTCCTCCTCCTCCTCCTCCTCCTCCTCCTCAGCCATCTCCTCCTCCTCCTCCTCCTCCTCCTCCTCCGCCTCCCTCTCCTTGCAGGGACAGGCTGAGCATGGGACGCCCAATGCGTGGGAGAACGAAGGGTATGACGAGGAGGGGACGACGAGCTGCATTGACAGCCGAAATATGTTTTGGGGGTGTCGCCAGCAGCATTATAACCCCTCTGAGGTAAGTGGAACAATGAAGTAGGAAGGCGAATCCAGTAGCTTGAGTTCGGGTCCACAGAAAGAGTTATAAACAACACCAGCAGCAGATCGACGCTCGAAGTAGGAAGGCGCGTGAAGAAGCTTCAGATCTGGATCTCCAGAATTCCCCACTTTCAACGGCTGGCGTGTAATCACACCCGACTGCGCAGTTGACGGGGGGGCCGCTGATGAAGGCCCCCTCCGCGTTCCTCAACAAGGGCGGCTCCCCTCGCCCGGGCCCGTCCCGCGCGCCGTCGCCTCGCTCCGCCTCCTTCGGCCCCCCCTAAAACAAACGAAAAACTATTGCCCTCGACTGTGCGGGGAAGATGTGTATCCATATCCAGTGCGTCTTGGACTTTCGTGGAAGGGGCGCCACACGGCCGAGGCGCACTGGATATGGACAACCCTCGAGCCTCTGGGGGCCAGATGTCTAGCCGTATCCAGTGCGCCTCCGGGGCTCTGGGAGGGGAGAGCCTGGAACTCGAAATCTGCAGCGGCTACGGACACACATCTTGCCCGCAAGCTTGGCGGCGCGCAGAGGGGAGTAGGGGGAGGGGAGAAGGCCGTTTGAGAAGGAGGGGGGGAGGCTGCATAGAAAGCTTCCCATGAGGGGGGAAGGCTGCTTGAGAAGGCTCTCCAGAAGGAAGGGGGAGGGTGGTGAAGCCGAAAGGTACCGATACCGCTACTCCCCGGACCTCTCCTGGGGTGCGCTCTGACCAGAACTTCGAGGCGAATCCAACGGTGGCGACGAGGGCCTCCGAGGAGGCCCACAAAGAGGAAAGCGGGCGAACGGCGAAGGGTAGAGGCATGGGCACCCATTCCTCCTCTGAGAGGGGGGGGGGGCTGGGGGGGGGGGGGAATGCTTCCTACCAGGCGCGGGCCTCGCACCTACGGGCGGCTGCGGCTCCACGCCTCCCGGAAGCGCGGGCTCCGCCAGAGGACGTCGCCGTGGGCCCGGCCGCGGCGCGACGACGGGCCTCCCAGAGGCCACGGGCCCGACATCGAGGAGCCCGATCCCCGGCGGAGCCTCCTGCGCGTCGCGAGGCCGGCGGCCGCGCTGCCCGGGAGCTGGCCGCTGCGGGGCGTGAGCAGCGCTGCAGTCAGCCAGTGAGGCAAGGGTGCGCGGTGAGGATGCAAGGGCCCCGGAGGCCCCTTTCGAAGCTCTTCGAGCGGGGCGCGCGGCCAGCGAGAGCGGCGAAGGAGGGGGCGAGGAGGCAGGGATGCAAGGGTACCCTTGGGAAGGTTGCCCGTCCTTACTATGCGGGTTGACTGTAAGTCGGGCCTGTCCTCCTACAGACGACTTTTGGACGAACAGAAAAACATGGTCAAATAATACCCCCCAAATGCTCAAAAATAGTCAAAGCATCGTCCCCCGACTATTTTTCCTATCTTTGAATATTCCCCCTGTGGAGGGACAGGCCCGACTTAAGAACAATGCGCAGTCCTGCAGGCAAGCACATTCGAGGACGAAGCCAACACATCGGTAGACATGTGGGCGACTGGCTCCTATCGTCACTGCACCGGAGCAAAATTGGGCGCCCCTGGACCTCACCGACGACGGGCGTCCACTTCTGCTCTTGTGGCTTCGGGTCCCGGAAGCCAGGGAGCTCCCACTTCTCTGGGAGAGCTTGAGGAAAAGCCTCATCGACACCGCGGAGCAGCCTTCGATCCACGCCGTCGTCGGGCTGTCCGAGGGCCTTTTTCTCGCCCTGCTCGAGGGCCTTCTTCTCTGACTCCGCTGCTGCAAGCAGCTCCGCGTTGGTCCTCGTTCCGGACATCTCTTCGTTCAGCTCGTCGACAATCTGCTCCCACTGAGGTTTCAAGTGCTCTGGGACCCGCGGGAGGCCGGCTTCCTCTCGCCTCCGGAACAGCTGCTGGGTGGCTGCTCCGTACCTCTTCGGCCCCATCTTGTCGCCCCTGCCAGCCCACTTTCGGCCCTGCCACACGTCGTCCTCCCTCATTGGCGCGCTCCGGCAGGGACGAAGACCGCGTCGTGTGCTGGCGCTCTGGGCGAGCCCTCCGGCGCTGGACACCCACTGCTGGCAGAATGCAGCGTGGTGGCCGGCGCGAGGCCTGCTCCAAAGTGATCCATCGAATGCCCCAGCGGCCACCAGAGTACAGAAGCCAGCGAGCCCAGACACGCGCCGTAGCCTCCTCTGCCAGGCTGTGCGCGGTGAGGCAGCGCGTGTTGTCGGACCTCGGCCGACAATCCCGGATCAAACGCGATCAGGATCACATCTCGTTAGCTCTACGGAGATGGCTCCCTTTCGAAGGGGCTTCCCTGACCGCGGCGAAGCATCGCATGCAGACCTGATCGGGCACATTATGAAGCGCTCACTGAAATCTGCGAACGTGTCACGAATTTGCAGCGACGGCCATGCAACATGATCTCAATAATTGCGCGCGTAAATGATACATGTTCGGTCACACCTCAAGGGGCACGAGAGGTTGCACACAGTGCGCCACACTTGGCCTGTGTCACGCTGTACTCGTCCTCAAATTCACCGAACACACCACGCAATTCTACCATCATTATCGGGTTCACTAAGCCGTTTAGCCGCAAACGCGCCACGTTCCCATCGCGTATAGCCACATGCCGATTACGAATAGTAGGACAGCGCACGTCGCAGTGAACCGTCGACCATTTTCAAGATAAGTTGTCGCCCCCCGATAATTTCACGCCTGGAAATTAATCTTTGGGTGTGGCACGGCTCGTGCTAGCAACGATGATGCTACTCTGTCAACTACCTCATCCCTTCTGCGCAACATTACTGAATGACATAGAACTGACCGCGCACATGGTGGATGTAAAGCCCCTAAGATGTACAATGACCAGGGCCTGGCCGCGCCCGCAAAAGGACGGATACAGGAATGCACTTCGGCGGTTGGAGCAAGAAGGCTAAACAATACCCGACATGCGAACGGCCTGAATGTCTGGCCTGCCAGCCTGCCCCCTTCGGATGATCGTACGCAGGATGCGGCCATGCAGGCGTCCTGCTGTCGATGAACGCCCGCCTGGAGCACGATGAGAAAGGGGCTTGTACGAAAGACGAGAGACAAACGTGCACGAGCACGATGAGGAGGACGTGCACGAGCACGAAACGGGTTTTTAAGGTTTGGGGGGAGGAGGAGGAGGAGGAGGAGGAGGAGGAGGAGGAGGAGGAGGAGGGAGGAGGAGGAGGAGGAGGAGGAGGAGACTCGAGGAGGAGGACGAAGGACAAACGATGCTTGTGAGGGGTCTCGCGGCCGTCCTCCGCTGCCCTGGGAGGCCGCCTCTCGAGGCCCCCAGAGGTCCCCTGGTGTCCCCCGAAGCCCCGCGAGGTCCTCCTCCTCCTCCTCCTCCTCCTCCTCCTCCTCGGCCACTTCCTCGGCATCCTCCGCCTCGTCCTCGCCGGGAAGCCCGCCGCCGCACCCAGATGGGCCAAGAGCAGCCACGCATCCCGGTCCCCGGCAAGGCGGAGGAGAAAACGGACGTGGATGCGGAAGGACGACGAAACGGACGATGACGAATACGACCGACGACGACGACGACGACGACGACGACGACGACGACGACGACGACGACGACGACGACAACCGACGACCACGGCGGCGGCGGAGGCAACGACAACGACGACGACGACGACGACAGCGCCCGCAGACGCCCGGGCGGCGAACCCCGCGCTGCCGCGGGGGCATCCGCGAGGCGCCGCCGCGGCATGGCGGCCTGCGGAGCCACTCGCCCCGCGGGGGGGGGGGCCCGCGCGGCCGGCCTGCCTGCGGGCTGCCTGGGCACTCGTGGCCGGTGGCGGCCACCCGGGCTGGGGCAGGACCGCCCACACGACGAGGAGGGGGGGGAGGGGGAGGAGGGGGGGAGGAGGAGGAGGGGGAGGGGGAGGGGGAGGAGGACAAGCTAGGTGCGCGCGCGTCATATCTGACGTCCTACCCCTCCCTCCCATCCCTTACCATGGCGCTGATTTTCTCTGTCCGCGGACTAGTGGGTGGTGGTGCGCGTGCGTGCGTGCGTGCGTGTGTGCGTGGTTGTGGTGGTGGTGGTGGTGGTGGTGGTGGTGGTGCTGGTGCTGGTGGTGGTGGTGGTGGTGGTGCTGCTGGTGGTGCTGGTGGTGCTGGTGGTGCTGGTGGTGGTGGTGGTGGTGGTGGTGGTGGTGGTGGTGGTGGTGGTGGTGGTGGGTGGTGGTGGTGGTGTGTGTGTGTGTGTGTGTGTGTGCGTGTGTGCGTGTGTGTGTGTGCGTGTGTGCGCGTGTGCTGTGGCATGGCACGGGAAATGACGCCAGCGCTGCAGCGGGAGCACGAGTCGAAACGGGCGGAAGCGCGGAAATGAGGCCAGCGCTGCAGCGGGAGCACGATTCGGAACGAGCGGAAGCACGGAAATGAGGCCAGCGCTGCAGCGGGAGCACGATTCGGAACGAGCGGGGCCCGAAAATGAGGCCGGCGCCTCGGCGAGAGCAGCATTTTGAAAAAAACACAAGCGAAAACCCGTTTCCCGGGAATCCTGTGTGTTAAAAACAATACGCGGGGGGGTGTCGGATATCTTCGGGACGCCATCAGGGGAAGTGGGAGAGTATTTTCATATTGTGTAATTGTGGAGGAGGAGGAGGAGGAGGAGGAGGAGGAGGAGGAGGAGGAGGAGGAGGAGGAGGAGAGGGGAAGATGGGGCAACGTCAGTCGAAAAATAACGAACTACTGCACACACGCAAGACCTTTCAAAAGAGTCCGCGCGGATCTCTCGGATCGGCGCTAAGCGCTGCAGGTGGTGCCTCTGGCGACGCCCCTGGCGCGCTCCGCGCGCCACCGAGGGGGGTCCGGCCCCGTTCCAAGACATCCGCGCGGACATCCGAAGAGTTCTGGTTTGTGCCGTTTCTCCCGCTTCTCCCGCCTTCGAGTACCCATCGGTCGGAAGTAGTAGATGGAAACATGACATAGGAAGACGTTGAAAGCAGATTGAGTGTCCACCCGCCCCCTCAAGAGGACGGAAAAGGTGAAGCCACTCGATCATTAAAGTAAGAAGGCGCTTAAAGTATATTGGAATCTAAGACTCCAAAAAATACCTACCATAGCGCACCGCAGATGCGGATAGGAGTGAGGGGGCGGCGGGGACGTCGGCAGTCTGCGAGACTCTGGAGAATCCCGCCGCAGGCGCTCAAGTTACACAAAGTGTAGAACGAGCCCGCCGCAGGCGCCGATTTTCTCGTTAAATCAAAGTGGTCGGTCGCGGGTGGGTCGTAAATGGGTCACGGTAGGGTCGCGGCTGGGCCGCGGGTGGGTCGTGGGTGGGTCGCAGGGTGGGTCACGGGTGGGTCGCGGGTGGGTCGCGGGTTGGTCGCGGGTTGGGTCGCGGGTTGGGTCGCGGGTGGGATCGCGGGTTGGGTCGCGGGTTGGGTCGCGGGGTGGGTCGCGGGCGGGTCGCGGGTGGGACGACGACAACAAACACACAACACCACAAGCAGAATCCCCACCACGGATCCCCACTTCAGCCACGCACCCAGGGACAATGAATGACCGTTCGGCCCCCTCACTCTGACTTCAACGAACAATGAGTAAGCTAGCCACCTCACCGACCCTGGCCAGCCCGAACTGGCCGGTTTCCCCTGGGGCCGCAGGCGACCCGACGAGGGGAAGAGGAGGAGGAGGAGGAGGAGGAGGAGGAGGAGGAGGAGGAGGAGGAGAAGGAGGAGGAGGAGGAGGAGGAGGAGGAGGAGGAGGCTGAGGAGGTGGTGGAGGGAGGAGGAGGAGGTGGAGGAGGAGGAGGAGTAGGAGGAGGAAGAAGAGGAGGAGCGGGAGGAGAAGGAGGAGGGAGGATGAAGAGCAGGAGGAAGATGAGCAGGAACAGGAGGACGGGTCGCCAAAGCCCTTCGGAGAAACCCTCCACCGATGGGTAAGCTGGCCACCTCACCGACCCTGGCCAGCCCGAGCCCTGGCCCCAGGATCGGTGCACACGCCCCCTCTGCACGGGCCAGGAGGGCGCCGGCGCCGGTGCTAGGCCCAGGCTGGGCCCAGCCACGATCGGCGAGGCGGGCAGCCTCCTCCTCCTCCTCCTCCTCCTCCTCCTCCTCCTCCCTCCTCGCTCCTCGCTCCTCGCTCCTCCTCCTCCTCCTCCTCCTCCTCCTCCTCCTCCTCCTCCTCCTCCACGCTCCGCCTCGCTCCTCTTCCTCCTCCGCCTCCTCCTCCTCCTCCTCCTCCTCCTTCCTCCTCCTCCTCCTCCTCCTCTTCCTCCTCCCTCCTCCTAGCTCTCTGCTCCTTCCTCCTCCTCCTCCTCCTCCTCCCCTCCACCTCCTCCTCCTCGCTTCCTCCTCCTCCTCCTCCTCCTCCTCCTCCTCCTCCTACTCCTCGCTCTCTCCTCCTCGCTCCTCCTCCTCCTCCTCCTCCTCCTCCTCCTCGCTCTTCGCTCCTCGCACATCGCTCATCCTCCTTCTCATCCTCAAACTCCTCTTTTGCATACACCTTGGAGCGCACCTGGTGAATTATGTCAAGCGCTGCGTGATGTACAATGCTGTCTTGGAATTCTTGGGTTTCGATTGTTTGGCTACGGAAAGCGGGACGCTCCCGCACCAGAAATCAATGGACGTCCTGGGGTCTCAGGGTTGGGTTTCTTGTGGAAGGTTTCCTGCGGTCGAGCTTGCCTACTGCTCTACTAGCCTTCACTGCAACAGTTGTGCGCGCCTGGGAGCTCGCTAACCGATTGTGCGCGCCTGGGAGCTCGCTAACCGCAGCCCCCTGTATCGGACACCAGCAGGACCAGAGCATCGAGGAATCGGTCTTCCTCCAGGCCCTCGAGCCCGAGAGCAACCACTACTGCGGCCAGACCTTGCACACCGGGGCGGTACTCTGGGACATGAGCGACTACTACGAGCACGTCGATTGGTGTCGCGCGAAGGCGCAAGTTCCCCCTCTGGTTGCTCTGCGTTGCTTTAATCCAGTACTAGAGCCAGCGACTCGTCACCTACGAGACCATGGCCGTCGTCGTCGGCTACCCCCGGCGGGGTCTGGCAGCCAACTGCGGGTCCGCCACCTTCCTCGTCCAGGTCTGCACCTTGGACCCGTTCGAAGCATGGCAGAGGAACAACGAAGCTTTGGCCAGACGACCTGCACTCCAGCAGGACCCACCACCATATAGATGCCGTCGCGCGTGACTTAGTCAAAGGGGCGGCGGCGCTCCACGCAATCATCGTGAGTGGGCTTCACTGCGCCGCCGCGCTCAAGAAATCCGTCACCCTGGCCAACTCCGAAGAACTCCGGCCCACGTTGAGACGAGCTCTCGGTAAATATGCCGGCGCCGTTGGCGTCTCGGACAGGAAGTTCGACATAGACTACGCCGTGGACACCTGCACAAGTGGAAGAAGAGCCAGCCGGTCCTAGCTGGGCGCATGGCTAAGCTGAAGTGTCGCAAACGTCGCTTATTCGCGGAGCGCAGCACGGGAACTGAACTCAGTAAGCTCTTCACCACGGGCCTCGATCAATTCGGCATGCACGGCGCCGGCGTCGCCGGGGCCACTCGCCCCTCATCGCCCACCCACTCCCTGTGCTCCTCCAGCTGACGCGGCCAATTCTGGCAAGCCCGCCGTCTGCATGGGCGGACGTGAGGGGACCTTTTGCAGCGGCAATCCTCGCTCTCAGGCGCATTGGTTGGCATTTTCACGCCACGCCCCGTTCATCCTTCTCGACCCATCTGGCGAACGCTGACCATTAAAGGCTTTCTCGCCCAAGTTTATTGAGACCAAGTTGCGGGATGAGTTGGACTGCGCTCAGCTGGCCGCGATTGCAGGAAAAATGGGCCTGCCCTGGGGCACCGCGCTAAATTTGACAGTGGCCAGACAACTCGGCAGAGAGCACAGCTTGTCCCGTCGCGAACAGGGCCTCCTCTCATCTTTCCTGTGCCATTCGTTGTGGACGCACCACCAGCTGAGCTGCGCGGGCTACCGAGTGGACTCACCTGCATATGCGGGGGGCCGTCGGATAGCATCTCCCACCGTCTCCACCACTGCCCCAGCACAGCACCTCTGATGGGGCAAATGCTTCGAGCAAGTGATCTCACCATCCTCGCCGACAGGCACCGTCATTTCCCTCTGGTGTGCGGTTTCTTGGTGCTCCCCGAAGCAGTGGCGGTGCCGCCGCCAGGCTCAGGGTCCAACCCATACCGGCATTGGTGCCGAGACGATCTCTGCCCTGTCGAACGCGCTTTCGAGGGCGTCGTCTTCACAGACGGGCCCTGCTTCAAGGATGAACCCCGTCCGTTTCACGCGGCCGGATGGGGAGTAGTCAAGACCACCCCGGCAAGGGAATTGCACGCGGCGCTCTGGGGGGCCGTCGGGGCGGCCTACCCGCAGACCTCCCCGGCTGCTGAGCCCATCGCGGTGCTAGCGGTCATGGAGCATTGCCCGCGCGCCACCTCCATTCACTCCGAGTTCCTCGGCGTCGTGAAGTTGTCCTCTGCCCCCTGGGAACGGGTAGCGGCCAGGCAGCACCTTTTTATGCAGGGCTGGGCGTGCAAAGTACTGGAGGGGGCCTGCCTTGGGATCGGGGCTTCCAGATCCTCGAGGCCCCCGCCCGCGCAGACCCAGAACCCCTGCCGCCGCTCGCGCACGAGTGGCACCCAGCGATGCTGGAAGTCACCCGGCCGACAGGCACGCCACGACGGGCGCCCCGTCGCTGGCCCGGGCCGTCGGAGGCGGCACGGCAGCGCTGGGCCGACGAGCGGCCGCGCAGAGGAGATGCCCCCTGCACGCTGTCCGGACGCCGACGCTCTGCCCCAAAAACTGCTCCGACCACAAAAAAACACGATGGACAGTCACCTTCGGCAGGGAGGCTCTGTGAGAGGCGTCGGAGGGCCAGGCAGCTCCCCCCTGTCCTCCCCCCTGCGCCGCCCCCTCTCCCCAAGGGGCTCTCCGCCCGCAGGGCGGTGCAGTCTGATACGGGCCGGCCCGCAGGGCGCCACCAGTGGAGCCGGAAGCACGCCCGCGGGGTCTGCGCGGTCTGCGCGACATTTGCCCGAGGGGCAGCCAGACCCGCAGCACCCGCAGAGCCCTGCCCTGGCCACCGCTAGGCTATCACCGAGCTCGCCCGCAATCCGCGCGAGCATACCAGTCCACCCATGCAATCACTCCTTGGGGGTGGCCTTACAGAATCATGCAGCACCTGCGGGGCAGACTCGGAATCTGGGAACCTCAGGAAGCTCAAGGATGAGTGCAAGCTCGGCTTCACCTCCGACGGGGCGAAATAGTCCTGGGACAGATTCCCGAAGGACCAGCACCCTGATTTCAAGAAAGGGCCAGCGAAGTGCATGGAGGAGCACTTGTCCCTTGCCGACCTGCTGCGTTCGTTGTACTTTGCTATCCTAAATCCCACCGCTTTTCAGCTGTGCACCAGACATGGGGAGGGACAGGGCAGGGGGAAGGATCTGGGTGGCCGGCCGTCATAGGGGCGCTTCACGCCGCTTCGGCGGTCGGCGTGGCGTAGGCGAGCCTGCCCAGCGGGCAGGCAACGTTGCGCACTACAAACGGGTACCATGCAAGCGAAAATAAGTGCAATTGCCACCGTGCCCAAAGAGCCACCTGGTTGTGGTGACAGGGAGGCCCGACAAGCTGTCCGAATCCCGCCCAGCAGTTGCCAGGGCCTCCAGGACAGCCCCAAGAGGCCACGCTCTCCCAACTGAGGCTGCAGATCGTGGCAAATTAGGGCCCTCTGGGCGACCCTGCCGCGGCCTCCTGAGGGCTCTCCAGGGAGGCCCGTTCGAATCCTGCCCAGCAGCTGCCAGGAGTCCCATGAGAGCGCCAAGAGACTACGATCTCCAAACTGAGGCTGGAGATCGTGGCAAATGAGGGCCCTCTGGGAAGCCCTACCCGGGCCTCCTGAGGCCTCCTTGGGGCTTTCTTGGGGACCCTCGCCGTCTCGGAGCCTCAGCAGGAGCTACCTGACGGTCGCTGCGGACCGCTTGGCCCTCAGAGGTGGATTCCCGACCAAGGCTCCACCAGGGGGCCTTCCACCCCATTCAGGAAGCGCATCGTCTCAGAATCCCTCTACTCCTCGTCCTCCTCCTCCTCCTCCTTTTCCTCCTCCTGATCGCGCCTCCCTCCTCCTCCTCCTCCTCCTCCTCCT